GCACGACAGCTCATGTCAACCCACCAAAATAATCCCAATCTGTACTTGCAACAGGGAAGACGTAAACACAGCCCAGGAGGAATAACTGCTGCGTGTTCAGTGTCAGCATCTGGGCTGCTGCTGCTGTTAGCAAGTGCTGCAGTTCTGCTGGGAAATAACCCGGGGAAGGGCAGGTGCAGCCTCTGAGAAACCCCAGCCCCTGCCAAACCCTGGGGTGCTCAGGGATGGTGGTGTGAGGCTGCTCAGGGGACACCCCAGGACATGGCCTTGCCACAAGCTTGGGGGGGAGCAGAGGCAGAGCCCCCTGAGAGCCGGGACATCCCCACCCCTGTTCGCATCTGCTGGGGGATGAGCAACAACTTCACCCGGTGAGTCACGGCTGACTCAGCCCTTGCTCATCCTCTGTGCTCTCAGTGCCTCTCATTCGAGGTGTTCTGGGGGACAACACGGAGATCTGTTCCTAGAGAGACAAGAAGCTCTTCCCTTGCTTCAGCTGTAGCCAGTAGATGCAATGATTAACAATCTCTTCCTCGAAGAGTTGCCAGCTTGCTGCCTGGCTGAAGGAACAGCTGCCACGACTCTGCTGCTGGGAAATCAAACAATTCCCGGCTTTCCACTGCTTCTGACAAGTCGTTTTCAACTCTCCTTCAGGAGTCAATAAATAAAAAAGTAGATTCTGCCGAGCTTAAACACGAATGTGAAAGTACATTGAGAAAAGGCTCTCGATGGCACAGGCAGCACAAGCACACCCAGCCTGCAGAGCCCCCACCAAAATACACACAACAGTAGGTCTGTATCACACATGCAGACACACACTATTGTGGGTATTAAAGAGCCTAAATCTGATTAAAGCCTTTCTATCCCCACCAGTGGTCAATTCCAGAAACCAGCTCACCCAGGAGGCCGAATTCATTTCATCCCCAAAGTCTAATTAAAGCCATTAGTGTATTCCTTGTCTTTCTGATAAGATCAAAGCATTCCAAGAGCCAGGCATTACCTTATTTTCAAGACAATTATACAGCATACAGCATCGATTTATTCTGCCTCCAGCTGTACACGTTTATCTCTGTCTATCATCGGGTAATCGGGACCATCAGACACAGCCCAGCTCTCGGCTGACAAGCGCCTGTGCTGGCTGGGCCGGGTTTCTTTGTCACCCTCACCTCAAATTACCATCTGAGGCAGTGCCTGGTGTCCAGGCCCCAGTGCCCACGGCCACGGTGGGACACGGGGCACGGCCAGGCTGCTGTGGTGGCACTCGGGTGCTCCCATGGCATGTGCCAAAGCCATGAGGAGGTTGGGGTACCCACCTCCCCACAGCAATGTCCCTGAGTCCCCTCGTCCCAGCTGTCCCCACCTTCCCATGAACAGCCCTGGATTTGTGGGTCTGCAGATCCGTGAGTGTCCCTGCCTGCTGCTGACCTGGGGGTTCTGCCCAGCCCGCTGCTGTGGTGGTTCACCAGGACCACCAGCCCCATGAGGGGCTGGGCAGCGGGGCAGCGTGCAGGGGGGTGCCCTCCCCTCGCATAAACACCTCTCCAGCAGCTCACGGCCCCTGCAAGAGCCGAGCTGTGAATTTTCATCTCTCAGCTAATCAACTCGCCGGCTAGTCCAAACTTGTCAGGAGCTTTATCCCTGCCCTGCCAGCCTCCTCCCGGCCCACGGGTGACAGGAGACGTTCCCATCCCTCCCCGAGACACATCCAGCTGCTACAAAAACAAACATCCTCCCGCTGGTGATTCCTCCTCGTCAAACAGTGCTGACCCTGGTCCCCTGGGGAACATCTGCTCTGCGCCCGTGCCCGGCCGCCGGCACATCCCGGTCCCCGGCAGCAGGGGATGGCAGAGTCCTGCTCCTGCCTAAGCTGGGGGGGGTTATTAATTGCCCATTCTCCCTATTCCTGCGTGACAAAAGATTAATCACCCAGCCGGGAGGCTCCTGCAGATGAGAGGCAGCTGTGGCCGAGCCGACAGCCCCGGGCTGGCCTGGCTGGGGTGCCTTCGGGAGCTCAGCAGGGTCTGGGCAGGTGGAACACCTAAGGGTTCCCAGGAACCCACCTGGGAAGCAGCTGGGGGATGTCGGGGAGACGGCGGGCCTGGTCCTGACCCTGGCTGTGTGTGTGTGTCTGGGTCTGTTTTGCCACTGTGTGCCCTCGCATTAAATGCCCTGAGTGCTGTGCCCGGCCCAAAGGGTGGCTCCAGAACACCCTGCAGACACTGCTCTTCACCTCCCGTTTCCTTGGGGGTTGCAGCCCTGCCAGCCTCAACCCAGTGTCCCAGACACCCAGGGATGAGCTGCTGGTCCCACAGGGAGCAACTCAACCCACACCAGCAGAGGACTGAGATCGGCACGAGGCGTTTCAACCTCCAAACCCAGCCCTGTGTGCGTGCTACTTTCACTGTCCTCGTCCCAAAAGAGATGATTGCCCCCCCTCAGAGTGATTTTCTCAGACCCTTGAAGCTGCTGCTCTGGCTGCTGTGGTGGGTGGCTGTGGGGTGCCGTGGCGGTGAGTGCGGCGCCGCGCCGGCGCCCAGGGGTTATCAGCGGTGGTGGCCGAGGCTGAATTAGCAGGCCAGGGAAGTGGGGTAAGCAGAGCTCAGCTTCTTGGCATGTTTGCTTGTGCTAAACCTGCAGCAGGAGAACTTTTCACAGCAACACTCAGCTCTTGAAGCCTCCCTTGGCCGCGGGCTGGGTTGTGCAAACAAATCGTGTCCGCAGGCACCGCGGGCAGGATGGCCCCGAGCTGGTGCTCAGGGTGGATGCACAGCAAAGAAAAAGAGCTTTTCCTGGCACAACTGCAGGTCACAGCATCTGGAGGGGCAGCCACGTTTCCCAAGGGATGCTCCTGGTGGGATCACCCCGGCCCTGCTTTCAGTGCTGCCTGACAAAACCTCACCAGCACCCTGTGTCCCCAGCACGGCATCTCCCTGGCTGGTTTCTCTCCCCAACAGCAGTTTGTTGCCCTGCAGTGGCTCCATAAGATGCTCTGGAGCAACATGGTGCTCCAGGACTGCTGGCTGACCCTGCATGAGCTCCAGTCCTGGGACAGGAGGACACACAGCTGCCCCCAGCATCCGGGAGCTGGGACCAAGCAAGCCCAGTCCTGTTTTGCCAATTAATTTAGCAAGCCAAAGCTCCTGCCCTCCCTGCCGTGGGCACCATGGTGGTCCTGCAGCTGTGTCCCTATCAGGAAGGCACTACTTTCGGGTTTTGTGCCATGTTTTATCCATGTTTGGAGGAAGTCGTGGCTCTGAATGGGAGGGTGGGATCTCTCACGTGGAGCCAGAGCCTCTCAGGATTTATGGCATGTGGCCAGCTGGGTGCTGGAGGCTTCCTCCAGGGCTGAGCCCCTGCTGGGACAGAGCTGGGACTACTGGGAACAGCTGGTGGGTCCTGACACAGCAGTAAAACCATGGCTGTCCCAGTAGGATGGGCTGTCCTGTGCTGAGGGGTGCCCTGCGATGGGGGTGCCTTATGATGGGGGTTCTCTACAAGAGGTAGTGGAGGTATCCTGCAACAGGGATGCCCTGTGATGGAAGTTTCCCTACGATGCGGGTGCCCTCCACCGGGACAGGCGCTCCCCGTTTCCCCTCCCGGGTCCGGCCCTGCCTGTCCCCAGCGGTGTCTCGGCACGAAGCGGCCGCAGGGCAGGTCCGGGCGGGGGAAGAGGGCGGGGAGCGGCCCCGGCCCGGTCCTTTCCCGGGCACAGATCGCCCTCCAGCGGCCACGCACCGGGAGAGGATGAGCCCTGCACAAGCCCTGGCCCGGCATCCCTGCCCGGCCCTGAGCATCCCTGCCCGGCCCTGAGCATTCCTGCCCAGCCCCGAGCATCCCTGCCCGGCCCTGAGCATCCCTGCCCGGCCCTGAGCATTCCTGCCCGGCCCCGAGCATCCCTGCCCGGCCCTGAGCATCCCTGCCCGGCCCCGAGCATCCCTGCCCGGCCCTGGGAGCGTTGGAAGCAGGGTGGGAGCCAGGGGCTGCAGCTCCAGCACCGCCGGCTGCAGGGATGGCTCAGGACATGGTGCCACAGTCCCACACCCAGCAATGCCTGTAGAGGGTGGCAAACCCCCAGGCCCCCCTCCTTGCACTGCACAGACCTCTGGATCCCCTCCTTACCCAGCAAACCTCCCCAGGACCCCTCCTCACCCCACACGAGCCCGGGGCTCCTCTCCTCACCCACACACGCAGGATCCGAGCTGGTGTGGATGGACATGTTTTAAGGGATGAAGGGATGTCTTCTGTCCAAGGAACTGACGCCCTCTCTCCTGTGCAGAACCCAGCTGAGAGCAGGGACCAGGACCAGAACCAGGACCAGGTTCAGCTCATCCCACTGGAAGCAGGCTCCATCCTCCCCCCAGCTGGGCTGGGACTCACGCCGTGCTCACCGCACGCACCGTGGCGTGTCGGAGGCACGAGGAACCAGCTCGGTGGTGTTTACCCAAGGCTCTGTCAGCATTCCAGGCTTGGGCAAGGACCTGCCACCGCTGCTGCTATAAAAAGCCATCAGGGCTGTGGCTGAGCCACACCAGCTCTCGTTCCTGCCCGGGCAGGGCTCCTCACCTCCGGCTGCTCACGGGCAGGAAGCGGCGCTTGTTCGGTGGCTTTCGGCTGGTGCCACCACTGGCACAGCACTCTGGGGTGTCATCACGCCTGGAGAGGTGAACAGAGAGCTGCTTCTTCCCAGGTTGCTGCAAAACCTGCTCAACTATTGATGTAAAGATAAGAAAAACAGGTCACTACTGAGGTGCACATCAGGAAGGCACAGGAGCCGAGGGCTCTTCCCTGTGGGTGAGACGGGAGGCACCCAGAGCAGCCCCAGCTCTCCAGGGCACAGAGGTGATGGTTCTGTGCATGGACACGCTGCATCCTGGGCAAATCCACAGCCCGGGCCTGTTCTGAGCTGGGTCACTCCCTGTGACATGACTGAGCCACACTCCTCCACAGCGGAGGGAATTTCCATGAGCTCTGCATCCTGCCTGAACAAATCAGCAATGGCACATCCATTTCCTCCCCACGTGTTCATTCATACAATACCCCAAAAGCCTTATCCATCCAATACCATAGCACTGTGGCAAAGAGGCACTCTGGGAAAAGCTGGTTTAACTTTAAAATACCCTAAAAGCCAGAGCGTGTGGAGCACCCAGAGCGTGCTGTGCCACCTGACTCACAGGAAACCTCCCAAATTCCAGCACCAGCAGCTGCAGGTGGGGGGTGATGGAGGAGTCACACAGCCCAGGCTGCAGCAGCAACTGCTCAGGACTTGCTCCACTCCCCAGAAATTTGCTTCCTTCTGATATTTCCGAGCCTCTGTCAAAGCTCCGGGTCCCATGTGAGCACAGACACCCCGTTTTCACCACCAGGACAGTTTCCTGCTGGGCAGCCCCGACTCCAAACACCTCCTCTAAGCAATTTGCACATCTTAAAAATAAAATCCTTTATTGATAATATGAATGTTTAACATGTTTAATGCCATCAGCTATAAAAATGAATAAAGACTTCAGCTTGGTACATTTGGCTTTACAAATTTACAAGTGTTAATGAATTAATACTAGTGTTATACATTTTGCACTTCATTATACTCCATTAGCCAGTGACAAACTCTGCAACAATGTCTGCTTAGGACAGATGTGAGTTAGAGAAGAAATATTTAGTTGCTTCCACACAGAATCTACATCAACAGTTAAATACTAACTCTAAATGTCTTACTGAATTAGTTGGATCCATTTTAATCCCTTGTGCTTAGTCTCTCTCAGAAGTTAGGCTACTAGCAAAAATACATTCTTTTGCATACCCCCTTCCCATATTATATTTCAGAAGAAACAGTACTCAGTGCATTTCCTATTAGACTTCATCATAGCATCTCTCTCTCTAGAGCTATCAATAAAGGGGATAATACCAGTTAGATTAATGCAAAAGCAAAGAAACTCATTAAAGCAGTGTATACAAAAGCCTCACTTTTGAACTGGAAGGGATACATGGGCCAAAATCCACCTGCCCATCCATTTTTACAGTTTCTCTCAGCAAGAGGGGAAAAAAAAAAAAATCTCCTGTGGATACTTAGTTAAAAAAGTAATAAATGTGCTTCCAAAAGAGTCACTGCCCATTTAGCTCTGGCTGCCTCTGTCTCTCTGCTGGTTGTAACCTGCTGGATTAGGAACGACAGCCCATAATCCCACAATTTAATAAGGGCTGCTAAAAGGTCTGTACAAACCTCTGTTCCAGTCCAAACACCTGCCACGGTGTGTGGGGTCACTCAGAGCAGCCCAGAGCTCTGGTGTCCTTCAAAGCCCGAAAGGAACCTCCCTGCCGTGGACACGAGTGCAGGGACTCTCCCCCCCCGACAAAGGTGGCTTTTGTCTAATGAAATATTGAAAAAAATGGCAAAGGAGAACGTGTCTCTGGCAGTGGGAAGCTGTGCTCTGTGTAAACACCACGGGGGAAGGGCTCTCAACACTGGACGACAGCGAGCAGCAAGTCCAGCGTCTAAATTTAGGATCAGTTCCCATCCAACACCAGAGATCATTAACTTGGGGTCGTGCTCTCGGCCCCTGCCACGGATCTGGGGGGTTTGTCCTGTATTTCTCACCACAGTGACTCAGAAAATCACCGTGCTGTGCTGCCTGCTTTGCCTGCAGCAAATGTTTCTGCACAGGAACCAGCTGCTTTCTCCCCTCTTGGGCCCAAATGCCTTTTCACACTCATGATTTGCCTCAAAACTTAAGACAATTCCTCACTAAATGCCTTTTTTTTTTTTTTTTTTAATTGCCACATCTTCTTCATATTAGGTAGAAGATCAAGAGTAGATAAAGATTTCCCTAACACACTGTGTGTTTAGTACATATGTGTATGATATACCTACACACATGTACATATTCATGTCCACAGCAGTAACGATTTGGTTCCATAATTGCAGCCAAGGAAAGCCAGCAAGATCCCAAAAAGTTAGTGGGTAAAATCCAGGTCAGTCAGACACAGCTGACAGAGATGAGGAACAAAATTATTGCTTTTGTTTACAGTCGAAGATCCCGTGTTACTGTTGCTAAAAAACGGTGTCATATGGATTAGTGATTTTTTTTTTTTTTTCAAGTAATAGTGAGATCTTTGTCAAGTAACAGAAAGACCCTTTTTCTCAGAAGTTCTACACACAACAGTAGAATGCTTGAGGAGCTTGAAAATTCCGGGTGACACACCACAAACCAGAGTTTAGCACACGGGCATCTCTGCAGAACGTGCTCGAGGAAAGCAAAAAGAACTACATGGACAAGAAATACCGTGAGAAAAAAAGTACCTGGATTGTGTTACAGCTAAATTTTACCCCAAAAAACCTCATGTGCTTCCTTCAGATTAGCTGGGAGTGTTGGTCTGGTGGTCACCTCACAGAATTTGTAGCGTTATTTGCTAACTTCTCGTAGCAAATGGAAAGAACTCAAAAGAAAAACCAGTGTTGGTTTCAACATTCAGGACTCAGAAGGATTTGTTTCTGCAGCTAGATGGTCCCCTCCTCACCTTTTCCCGAGAATCACATTCATATTGCAGGCTTAGTTCAGGCACTTTTAGAAAATGTTCATCTGGAGTAAAAAGTCTGCAAAAAAAAAAAAAAAAATCTTTTTTCTGCATAATTTAAAAGTAGCATTTCAGTCCCATTAGAGGTTGATAGGTCCCACCACACGATTATGGTTCTTCTCTAATGATCTGACTGTTGCCTTGAGACATTTGGAGGCTACTGTATAGCTGTAGTTAAGGTTTCTTCATAAACAAAAACATTTTCCTACCTATTAAAAAAAAAAGGAAGAAGAAAAAAAAATATACTAAATGCTTTATACAGACAGAACCTGCTACTACGGAAATAAATAACACGGAGTGGAAAAACAGTGTCTTAGCTCCGGGGTGCTAAGCCGTGGAATGCCACATTCCCAGTTTCTGGAGACTAGCTGCTGGTTGGCAGGAGGATCTCCAGGTCTTTGCCATTCGACACGACAGCGTTGTTGGAGCAGCTGCTCGCCACGTCCATGGGGGCACCCAGGGGGGACGCCTGGGAAGGGGTTTTGGCGAGAGGAGCAGCAGCAGCAGGAGACTGAGCCAGGCCGGGCTTCTTCGGAGGGATGGGTGGAGGGTTCCCCCTCTCTGCTCTAGGAATGGTGGGCGACTTAATCCCAGGAGACAACGGGCTGAGCGGGCTGGACACCTTGACGGGGCTCGGGGAGTGGCCAGACTCGGTTTTGGGGCTCCCAGCGCCGGCCAGGTTTCGGTAGTCCGTGCCAAAGGGGGAGCTGTTGGGGGAGACGGGTTTGATGGGGCCCTGCTGGCTGGTGAACCTGGACAGCACCTGGGTGACCGTGTTGCGGGCCAGCTGCTTGGCTGCCGAGTTGTCTGCCAGAGTTGGGGACAGGTCCCGGGACGGGGGGCTCTGCAGCCCACTGGACTGATGGTCCTGCTCAGCCTGGGACTGGAACTTGTGCCTGGCCGCGTGGAAGCGCTGGTTGATGCCCACCTGGTAGGAGGACTGGTAGCCAGGGCTGCTGGCCGAGGCTCCCACCAAGCGTTTGGCCAGCACCGGCGAGGAGCAGGGGGAAGGTGTCAGGGAGGAGCCAGCTGTGCTGCTGGGGGACAGGGAGACCCCAGCAGAAGGGTGCTGGGACATCAGGTGCACCGGTGACTCCGTTCTCACAGGAGAACTTCCGTTCTCCACCGCGTTTTCGGAGGTTGCACCAGCAGATTTCTCCCTCTGAGCGTGGCTCTCTGCGGGGTTTGTCTGCAGGGGCTCCCCACCCGTCTGCCCATCCGTGTCACAGTGCCCATTGGATTTTGCATAGGAGTGAACTGGTGTGGAGGGGCTGGGGAACACGCTGTGAACAGCTTTGCTTGTGCTGGCAGGGTGTGCTCTCTCTGCCTGCAGACACTCGGTCTGGCAAGACACAGATTTCACCGGGGGACTGTCAGTTGTGACACCTCTGGACACCACCGAGGGGCTCGGCTGCAACGCCTCTGAGGGACTGTGCTCCTGCTGAGAAGCCTCCAGCTCCTTCAGGGCTTTCTTCAGACATTCTACCTCTTCTTTGAGTGCTTTTGTACGGTTTTCTTCCCTGTTCAGCTTGGCTTTCAGCTGCTCCCTCTCAATGTCGAACTCCGAGAGCTGCTTTTCTACCTGTGCTTCCATCTGCAAGCCCCGCTTCCTCTTGGCTGCCAGCTCCTCTTCCAGCTTGCTCACCTTACTCTTCTCCTTTTCCAATTTCAAGCTCAGTTCTGCTGTCTTCTGCCCCTCCTCGGCTGCTTTGGCAGTGGCTTTCTTGCACTCCACCACAAGCATGGAAGACAGCTGCTTGTGGCGTGCCCTCTCCTCCTCCAGCTGGCTTGACAGCTTCTTCTGTTCTTTCTCAAACTTCTTCACTTGGGATTTTTCAAACTCCACCTGCAAATTAAGAACAAAAGTGATTCTAAGGGAACCTTAAAGCCTCGAAGGGCAATGCCCCAAAAAGGAAGAGGGGTTACTGTGTATCTTGGAGCAATCACACTGTTAAAGACAGCAATGGCTAAGAAAGAGGTTCTTTGCCCCAGGAACCTGCAAGGCAGTCTTGGAATGACTCAGCTTGCACGTAGCAAGAATTATTACTTGCTAGTAGTTTTATCATGTATGAAATTCAATTGACCTTTAGTGAGATATACACCCAGCCTGCCATGCACTGATGGAACAAGCGAGCCGGAGCAAAGCCTCCTTCCACCTCATTTACTACTTTGTCAGTTTGCCTTTTAAAGGCATTTAGGATTTAAAATGCTGATGTGTTACGTGTGCTTAATAAAGGCAGCAGCGCTGGAGTAACTGAAAACCGTGGCTTAAATATTTATTAGCATCTCTGAATAACACCCCCAGGAGATCTTTCATGACTTATCCTGAATTTTGAGCACATAGAGCACCACCGACTGTAAGTTCAGCCCTGTTCTTGAGCGCTCCTCAGATTTCAGGCTGAAGTAAGATCTGATTGCCTATTAATAGCTTTTAGCACTGCTCAGCTACCAAAACACCCCGAGAAATTAAGGTTGTTTTTCACAGCAAAATGATAAAATCCGGGAGTGCCTTGGAGAGGGAGGTTCCTGCTCCTCTTTCAACACCTCCCTGTGTGGAGTCCACCACCCAGGAGCTCGGGGTTTCTGAGGGCTGGGCGATCACCAGCTCCCAAACTGTACCTGCTGGGTGAGCCGCTCCCGCTCCTTCTCCAGCATGTAGGTGACATCATCCCCCTCGGCCGTGTCCTGGGCGTGCCGCTGCCTCTCCTCCTCCAGGTCCAGGATCACCTGCCAGACAAACACCAGGGGATGCCCGGGGGTGTTTACAAGCAGGGAGAGATCAGCACAGACATTCACACAGGTCCAAAATGACACACGAGAGCAGCCACCGCAGCCTCAGAGTTCCAAACCCAACTCCAAGTCACGTTTTTGGACAGGCTCGATATGATGATGTTAACCTGGTCTGACTGAGTCAGTTTGTGAAAGAGGTTAGGAAGATGTCACAGCGCATCTATCTTCATATTTTCATTTTAGTATTGAATACCTAAATTGCAGCTTCTCCTCCACACTGTGGAACCGCCTCGAGAAGTTCACGGTGTGAACATTCCCATCCCAGAATGGTTGGGGTTGGAAGGGCCCTCTGGAGACCACCCAGTCCAAAAGGTGGTCTTGCCACAGGTTCACCTGGAGGGGTTTGGATATCTCCAGAGAAGGAGGCTCCACAGTCTTTCTGGGCAGCCTGTTCCAGTGCCCACTGCCACCCTCAAAATAAATCAGTTTTTCCTCAATGTTCAGATGGAACCCCCTGTATTTCAGTCTGTGCCTGTTGTGCCTTGAAACTCAGAATTTCCTGGCAGGACCACCAATAAAATCGCCAGTGACAGGCCAGTCCTTGCTATGGTTCCAGCAGTAATTCCCACACAGGCTTCTCCCCAGTCCCTCACGGGGATTTGAGGACTCCAGTGCAAAGTTTATTTTAAAGAACATTAATTTGTTCCTCCACTTAAGAACAAGATGAGCTCTTGAAATGAAACTGCTTCCCATAAGGACCCAGTTAAGGAGCTCCTTCAGCTTTAACACTGAATTACATGAATAATTGAAATTCTATTAACTCAACAAGGAAAAACCACCCCAGAATACAAACTTCCCAAGAGGATCTGCTGTATCTCATCACCAAAACTATAAGCATTCCCAACACATGCTCAACCTGAATTCAGCAGCTCCTCCTTAGCAGTTCCTCAGAAGCTCCATCTTCCTGAAATTTAAGCTTCCAAATAATGCTTATATATCATTAAGTATATAAGGGAGATTTTCACAGAAGGAGACAGGAAGAACAGAAGGAGAAGGGGAAAAAATATCTGATTTTAATTAGACATTTGGCTGAAAAGTGAAACACAGCCTGGCTGTTACTTCCACGGACTTCTATTTCTGTGGAAGTTTGTGAACCAAGGACTTTATCGGTGTCAATATGCACTAAAACCATGTCTGAAGAATAACAGGTGCTTCATTATAGAGGCCAAATAGCACGAAAAATACTCCTGGTCACTCCATACTTCCTTAGGGAAGCACAAGGAGGTGCTCTCCCATAACTACCCAGCACCAGCTCTTCAACAACCACTGAGCACAAGTCACAAGCAGAACAGTGACTTCCTGCTGAGAATTCCATCTCCCAGAAATCCTTTCTCACATTTTGGGAAGCACTACACCTGCCAGCTGTGAGCTAGTTCCCTTTTGGCGTGTCCCAACAAAAAACATTTTGTGTGTGCTTCAAATTTTGCAGTGATAACCAATAAACTTACCAGCAGTATCATCCTGAACGAGAAGTTTAAACAAAGGTGCAAAGTCCTTTCAGCTACCAGACCTCAGGGATTTAAGTGTTCTTGCTGAAGTCAACAAACCATCAAAATGCACACTTTATTTGAAGAAAAAAACCCACCTTTCTGTGTCTGCTTTCTGCAGCAGCCAGTTGGGATAACATTCTTTCCTGCATGTTCTTGCAGTGTTTCATCACCACTTTCAAAATAGATAAAGGGTTGGAGCATACTGGTTGTTTTTCCCCGTGATTCCCCTCTTTCAGGGTCTCAAAATCTCTCTGCAAAGCCATCAGTGGGTCACTGATGTTGTACTTGCCATAGCGTTCCTCAATGAAGGTGTCTCTGTGCTGGGCCTGCAACACAGAAACAAATTTGCATTTTAATATCCTTGAAGCAAAAAAAAAAAAAATCCCAAAACCCAGCTAAATAAGAAAGCATTTTGTAGTTAATATTCCTCTCTCTCTGTTTTCCACTTAGAGATAAAGAGAACTCAGCACAGTCTGATTCATATCCTGTCATCTGCTGTAAGAATGGGAGCATTCAGACAGGAAAAAACACAACTGTGTGTGTCACCTTAAAGGTTAACAGACAGGAGAGCAATTCACAAAACAAAGTGAGCCACCTGACAGGCAGCACAGCCCGTGCCACTGGTGTGACCTCCAAAGCCCCCCCTGGACCTTCTGATCAAACCAATAACAAAGGGACAAGCGCTCTGATCAAATTAATACCACGAGAAGTTTAATGCAGGACAAGGACAACAATCCTTCTGCTCTCCAGGTGACCCACCTGAGTCTTGCAAGTGGTTTTTGTAAATGTTTTCATTCCCACAGCTGGAACAGAAGCAAACCCACACTATTCAGCCTGAAATAAGCCCTAGGGAGGTTACAAAAAGCATGTGCTTGATTAATTTCTCACTGTCCCTGTTGAACAGTGATTTTTAACCAAGTGGTCCCAGATAAACTAGAAATAAAGGAAAATCTTGCTTAAAAACAGCATCTCCACAATACATTCAGTCTACAAACATCCTCATACCACAGCTACCTGCCGTGGCCATGACTTACATTCCAAAACTGTGTGAAAGCAAAGAAGGTAAGTACCAACTCCTGCTCAACCAAAGATTTAATCATTTACTGTCCCATCAGTGAAAGAAGCAGTTTGTGTGGTTTCCTTGACTGTGTCACCATCAAAGAATTCCATGTTGAGCAATTAAGGAGTTTCAGTCTTGCCAGAGCCTATAAATCCATGAATTGTTAATAAAATCCTTAATGTGCTCATCCAGACTAAACAGAGTTTGGTT